TTTTTTCATCCTATTATTATTTTAATTTACTCTAGTAAGGTTAAACTCTAACTAAAATCCCCAAATTCTCAAAATTTACATTTCAATTCGCCCCCGCAGATCCTCCGCCCGCCCCGAACCCCCTCGGGTACCTTCGCCGGGCTCCGAGCAAAAGCTTCGACGAAATCCACCGTGTGCTTTGCATGAAGCGGCACCCATCCGGGATCTGAAAAAGAGGGAAAAAATCCAAATTATCGCCGCCGAGGACGGATGCGGAGCTGGGATTCCTTCCCCGCCGCGACGCTCACTGAGGTGCAGCTCCTCCACCGCGGTCACCGAGGTGGGTTCCTCAGAGTCCTTCTCTCCGATAACCTCCACCACCTCCCGAAAAGCCACTTTGGGTCGTTTTGGGGGTTTTTTCTCCATTTCGGATGAGACAAGAATGCAATTTGGAATGTTTTAGGTCAGACGCGAGCCAGCACCGTGCTCACCCGTCGCTGTCCTGGCGGACAGTGCGGGGCTCGGGTGGGTTCCGTGGTCGCCAGGGGTGCCGCGGGTGACAAATCCTTTGTGACATCGCCGCGGTTTTTATCCTCCCGCCGGGACGTTCCGCGACGAAAAACCCGCTGTGGAAACGCAGAATTTTTCAAATCAAACGCAGCAAAGCGATAGAGCAGAGCGGGCGCGACTTAAGGGGGGAAAAACCCCAAATTTAATAAAGCTACTCCTGCTGTTTTACTATAAAAAATAAAGCGGAAAAAACCTGCAAAATTCAAATTAAAAGATTAAAAAATGTTCCTTTTCTTACCACTCACCTCGCAACAAGCTGGACCTCGATCAGGTTCACACACTCCTGATAATCAATATTCAGTTTATTGAGGGTTGCCCTCCAGATAATCAATATTTAATTTATTTAGAGAGGCCCTCCAGATAATCAATATTCAGTTTATTGAGGGATGCCCTCCAGATAATCAATATTTAATTTATTGAGGGAGAGAGGCCCTCCAGATAATCAATATTCAGTTTATTGAGGGAGGCACTCCACATAATCAATATTTAATTTATTGAGAGAAAGAGGCACTCCAGATAATCAATATTCAGTTTATTGAGGGAGACAGGCCCTGCAGATAATCAATATTTAATTTATTGAGGGAGAGAGGCACTTCAGACAATCAATATTCAATTTATTGAGAGAGGCACTCCAGATAATCAATATTCAGTTTATTGAGGGAAGCCCTCCAGATTATCAATATTTAATTTATTTAGAGAGGCCCTCCAGATAATCAATATTCAGTTTATTGAGGGATTCCCTCCAGATAATCAATATTTAATTTATTGAGAGAGGCACTCCACATAATCNCCCTCCAGATAATCAATATTCAGTTTATTGAGGGATTCCCTCCAGATAATCAATATTTAATTTATTGAGAGAGGCACTCCACATAATCAATATTCGGTTTATTGAGAGAGGCACTCAAGATAATCAATATTCAGTTTATTGAGGGAGAAAGACCCTCCAGATAATCAATATTCAGTTTATTGAGGAAGAGAGGTGCTCCAGATAATCAATATTTAATTTATTGAGAGGCATTCCAGATAATCAATATTCAGTTTATTGAGAAATTCCCTCCAGATAATCAATACTTAATTTATTAAGAGAGGCACTCCAGATAATCAATATTTATTTTATTGAGAGAGGCGCTCCAGATAATCAATATTTATTTTATTGAGGCGCTCCAGACAATCAATATTTATTTTATTGAGAGGCATTCCAGATAATCAATATTTAATTTATTGAGAAATTCCCTCCCGATAATCAATATTTAATTTATTGAGGGGTCTGTGACCCCCCGAAACCACAACAGCCACCCGAGGAGGGATGGAGGAGAGCAGCCAAAAAATATTAAAAAAAATAAAAATAAAAGATTAAAAATTTAAAAATATATAAAAAATTAAAAAGAAAACACATTTTGAAAATAATAAAAAATATTTTAAAATTAAAAAAAAATTTCAAAATATAAAAATATTTAAAATAGAAACGATGTAAAAATATACAACATATATGGAGGAGAGCAGCCAAAAAATATTAAAAAAATAAAAATAAAAGATTAAAAATTTAAAAATATATAAAAAATTAAAAAGAAAACAAATTTTTAAAATAATAAAAAATATTTTAAAATTAAAAAAAAATTCAAAATATAAAAATATTTAAAATAGAAACGATGTAAAAATATATAACATATAT